CGTGTCGTCAGCCACACATTATCCACATCTGTGATCCTACCAAAATTTTTGCCCCTTCCCCCTACCCCTACCTATACCCTCTTTATTCTCCAATTCCAACACCCTAATTCTCTATGGGTCAATAGATATCACATCTCCAAGATCCCCACTTATCCATCTGTGACCCGACATTATTTCTGCCTCCCCCAACACCCATTACCTGGAAACTTTCCCTATTCTATAGGTTGCAAATTTTTCATGATGGAAACCCATATTATCTGCCACCTGACTCTGAAACACAAGTTGGCAGAACAACACTCGGTTCACCTTGCTTTCTAACAAATACATTTCAATATAAGCAGTGTCCTTGAATCTTTCAAACATTAGTCACTTCTGCATCTTTCTCTGCTATAATTTCAGAAGATGTAATATCTACATTCCCATCTTTTTCTTATGAACTTCTGCATACATTTGTAAAGAACAATGTTAGCTTTTATGCAATAAGCCATCAAATTCAACGAAGCCATCAAATTCAAGCTTTCCTACATTGCAATTTAACACATATGTTAAAAATAAGCATTAACGTATGCAAAAACCCCAAATGCATTCTCATTATAGAAATAAGATTCGTAACGATGCTGGAGCATTTCAATATACCAAAAATCATCATCATAAACATCCTCAAAAATATGGGTTTTCAATTTTTTCAAGAACAAACTGAAATGGGTCTCAGTTTTTGGTATTTACCTTAAACACGAAGCTTCAAGATTGTGATTCCACGCAAACGAAGCACTACATGCTACGAGCACTCACTTCGTGTCGTCAACAAACATCATTTTCTGGAAAATTTCTTCAAAACGTGAACTGGCGATCAGCGAGGTGTTTGATTGACAAGTTTTCATTTTGGAGAACTGGCAAAGTGGGTCTGCCTTTTCATTTCCCGCCCTTGGAAGGTCATACTAGTCCACATCAGCGCAGGAGGGGTGTTTTAGTATTTTCGTCTTCCATTAACGGCAAAACACCCCACTTTCAAAAGGAAGGACTTTTTAATTAGATGGAGTTAAAGGTAGGAATGCGTTACATATTATATAAAACGTCGGGGATTACTTAGATAATTATGGCAAACCTCAGGGATCTATAAATAATTTTTCTTATTAAAAACACTACACAACATAGTATTGATCAAATACAATAAAAATTGCTAATCAATACATATGTTTAACATGTATTGTCAAATATGGAAAGGATTCTTATTTAAACATTATTTCTTTTAATTATTCAAATCATGAGAAGGAACATATTGGCATATCCAAAGCCAAAAATTATTGTCTCTATGAGTATTATTAAATATAAAAGATTTAATATCATTATAAACAAATAAACATTAGCAATCAATTTACAAAATATAAAAGATTTAAGTATCATTATATTAAGTCAAATAAACCATTTAGATCCAAAGCCAAAAATTATTGTCTCTATGAGTATTATTAAATATAAAAGATTTAATATCATTATAAACAAATAAACATTAGCAATCAATTTACAAATCAAAGGGTATTAATGTGTCGAGTGTTATACTCTATATATTAGATCAAATCAATCTGTAAGAATTAATTACTTTGAATTTTTAAACTCAATTTAAAGCAACCGTACGTTTAATATATGCACATAAGGAAAGAAAGAATCAAAATTAAAAATTTTATTTCCTTTCACCATAAATTATATTATTTTATAATTAATAATATAATTTTCAAGAACATATAGATAATTACCTTTTGAGTGTAAATAAGTTAAACACACCAATATTAATTTTGAAAGTCGCAAATAACAAGTTATCCTCTCTTTAAGTATTTTGATCAACAAAGTCGTAGAACGAATTCAAAGCAGTAGAATAAAATCGTACTAATAAAGTGTTATAAAATATAATAAATAGAGAATATATATAAACATATAGTAAATAAAATATAGAGAGAAATTGAATCATTGTACTAGAATCTTAGTTACCATAGTTACCCATTCATTAAGGATTATAAGAACTATTTTATAGGATACAAAATTTATAAAATATAATAAATAGAGAATATATATAAACATATAGTAAATAAAATATAGAGAGAAATTGAATCATTGTACTAGAATCTTAGTTACCATGCATAGGATTAAAGAACTATTTATAGGATACAAAATGCAATCTAAAAACTATTTATAGGATACAAAATGCAATCTAAAAGATATAACCTTACTTATTAAAGAATATAATTATTCATCCTAAATGATATAACTCTTTATTCCAAAGGAGATGACTCATGGAGAAGACAAATAATTTCTTTAATAACCTTAATGGATATCCATATTTTAATATAGTATTTCTAACAATTTTCAAAATTTTTAATTAGTTTATTAGCAATCTTAATAAACTTTAAATAAGTTTAATGTCAATATAAACATGCATCTGTAGTAGAAATCACTTTTTAAACTGGGTCAAAAGGTATTTGATGCCAATTATGATATATGTTTTTTTGGTAATTGATTATATAGTCCTTTCCAACCGATTTCATGGATGAGAACTATTTTTTTTTCTATTCAAAAGAAAAAAAAAATATGAAAAAGCAAAGTAACTGTTATTTTGTATATCCTACAGTCAATCAGATGATTGCACGTGCACGTCATATTTTCAATTTTATTTAACTAATAAAAGGCATTATTTATCTTTAATATTCAATTAATGAACCTCCATTAAAGATAAATTTCTTGGGACACTATTTCTTTGCAGAAGAAATTATAATATGGTTGTAATTCTGAGATTCTTATGGCATCAAAAGTAATGTTACTAAATATTTCTAGTCAATGCCATATCAATATTGGATGATGACGAGATGTTCAGACCGGTACATATTATGTTATTTTCTTTATGAAAGGAAATAGTTGTTCTCATAAGTTGAGGTATGTGTGATATCCATAACTAGGGATGGAAGTGGTGCGGGTATTTTAAATTACCCGACCCACTCTGATCCATTTAAAGAGGATATAAATAGTTATAAAAGGGTTTAGGACAGGTACGAATAGTGAAATTACTACCTATTATGCATACGGATAGGGTATGGGTATAGATCGTTGGGTACCCACTACTCGTTACTGGCTATATTAAACGCGTATCTTATCCACTATTAATAAAAATTGTATTTTAAATAAGTTCAGATTTAGATAGTTTAAGATTCGTAGGTATCCTACTCGTATAAGGGTAATTTAAACGGGTTTTGGGCGGATACGAGTAGTAAAAATTTAAACAGGTTCAGATAGGGATACTTAAATGAATATTTAAATGGATTTGGATATTAAAATTTTAAATGGATACGGATATGGATAGCTTAAAACTCGTGGGCATCCGCCCTGCTTCCATTCCTACCCATAACTAATATACAGGTGCTTGTTGTAAGGATAAGTTCAATAAACTAATCCAAACAAGAATTTCATACGGAGAACTACCTATGCCTGTAAAAGACTCAAGTGATGGTTGTGTAAGTAAGCTTTAACTTAAGATTATTAAGTTATCTTATTTAGGGACTACTATGTTTTGATCCATCTACACGTTACTCTATTTAAGATAACAAATGGAAAATAGCAGAAATTGTATAAAGTGACATGAGTGATCAAGATGGGTTCATCATCCTCTGTAAATTAGAGAAAAATTTTCACTTGTTCTCTACTAGTATTGATCATGCAATCCTTGCACAAGATGAAATCAAATTAGTAAATTGGATTTGAAATCTTATTCAATGAATCAATAACTATTGCTAAGAAAATTAATAAAATTTAACTTACTAGACATGTTCCGTACTTAAATGAAATAAATCAAAATATTATTGATGAATAGATTTTAATTATATTGAGAGATCATTCACTAAAAGGTTAAGTCAACCTACTATAGACTTTTCAAATATTTAGATAGTCTTGTTATGTTGCTAGATATCGCAAATATAAATTTAATTAATTATATTTGGAACCTAATGTATCATATGTATAAGGATTGATATGAAATATTAAAAATGAGAAATTAAATCAAGTTGAATTTGATTAAAAATGAGTTTTAAGTAAAATTTTATAAAAATTATAATTTTGATCTAAATTATTAAATAGGGACTCAGAATAAACGTTTCTAAAACTTATTGGGTTTAAATATAAGATATTTTAAAAGGTGAATTAATTATAATTTATTTATTTTAATCAATTTCTAACTAGGATAACTTCCCGCATTCCTCTATATGTAGACTTGACTTTTATAGCCATCAAAATAATATAAGCGTATTTTGAGTTAGAATTCAAAATACTTTTTGCTTTTCAAATTCTCTAAAAATAATTTTATATTTTTTTCATTGTCAATTGGTGAGGATATTGTTAAAGACCATTCAATTAGACGGTTTATGAATTACGACAATCCATTGAATAACAAGTTTCTAACTCTACTTATGAAAGATTTGATAATAGGTATTATTTTAAATTAATTATTTATTACTTTAATCATTTAAATGTAATTCCGTTAATTAAAAATTTTATAATATCGATTCCATTGCACATTTTATTCCATATAAAACCAATAGTAACTCCATTACCAATCTCATGGATGAGATACGTACATTCAAAGAAAAAAAAGAAATAGCAACAAAACGGATAGGGATGGCAATTTTACCTACGTGGTGAAAAAAAAAAAGTAATAAAGCGAAAGATGAATTGGTGCACACTTTGGTTCAGTACCTACGTGGTGAATAGATGTCAATCAATTATTTGTAATCCTCCAATTGATGGAACACAAAAAGCGAAGAACAAAAAGAAAGAAAGAAAGGAAAGAAGAAAAGTGAAAGCTTTTAATTCCAATGAACTTTTCCTTTTTGGTGGGATCATATGCGTCAATAATTGTTATTCCCAAGCACTTGAGCTTACAGCTTTAACGAGTTCGGTTAGAACAAAAAAGAAAGAAAGAAAGGAAAGAAAGAAAGAAAGGAAAGAAGAAAAGTGAAAGCATTTAATTCCAATGAACTTTTCCTTTTTGGTGGGATCATATGCGTCAATAATTGTTATTCCCAAGCACTTGAGCTTACAGCTTTAACGAGTTCGGTTGGAAGAATTACACTGCTAAAACCCATTACAACTGCTTATCCTTCCAAGTTTATTGCATTTAGTGTAAGTTCTTTCTGCACACTATACGTCTCTTCTTTTTCTCCTCTCTCTTTTATATACTTTAAGTTCTTTCTGCACACTAGAGTTTCTTTTAATATTCTTGAATTGCTATTTAGTTGGTTCTTGTGATGTGTATGTGCCTCTTCTTTTTCTCCTCTCTCTTTTATATACTTCTTCCTGTTATTTTCTGCATACAACATTCTTCGGAACACAGGCATCTAAGCCTTTGATTCCATTATTATGTCTAAACTTTGAAGTTTTTGAACTTGTTTATATTAATCTCTGTTTCTAAGCAAAATGTATGTTTTACTCTCAATTGGTTTATCAGTAGGCCTATAGATCCGATCTAGTTATGTCATTCTTATGTTAAACTTACTTAGATCCGGACTATGACTTCATGCACCAAACTAATGAAATGAAAATATAAATTTTTTAAAAAATTGTTCCTTCTTTATGGTCTCACCCATGGATCAAACCAATGAAAATAAGGTAAAAATTGCTCTCCTTAAAAAAAAAAAAAAAAAAAAAACACATTTTTCATTGGTAAAAATTCCATGGGTAGATTCACACGGGTCTAGATAAGTCAATCCGGTTAAAGTTCTTCTGATTTTCTTGAATCGCTATTTACTTAGTCCTTTTCTCCTCTCTCGAATTGCTATTTACTTAGTCCTTTTCTCCTCTCTCTTTATAGAATTCTTGCTGCTGTTAATTTTTTACATACAACATTCTTGGGAACATTGGCATCTAAGCTTGTGATGAGTTTCATTATAATGTCCAAACTTTCAAAAAACTTTTGAGCTTGTTTGTTGTTTACGTTATTCTTTTTCAATACAACATAAAGAGAAGTTTAGGCAAATGTTTACAACAATAAAAGAGGAGTTTAGGCAAATGTTTGATTATTTCCAGTTTGCATTTTATTCCTCAGCATTAAAACTCCAAACCCAAATGAAACCTTTAGAAGTGAATAAGGGGAAAAGCCCAAATTTACTTTCAACTCTCAAATTCAATTTGTGATTGTTGTTGTTGTTTTTGGCTATGGTTTATTTAGAAACTAACACTTCAGTGGTTCAATTCAGTGGTTCAACAATTATTTGATCTTCCCACGCTTTCGATGTAAAAGGTTGTCCTTTTTATAATTGACAGTTTGAACATACATCCTAGGATCAAGAGGATAAACATGGCAACAAAGATTGTCCTTCAAGATCTAGATGGAAATAATTACGCAGACTGGAGAATTTGGATGAAGAACTATTTGTTGGCAAATGATCTATGGGATGTTATTGAAGCAAATGAGAAACTGGAAGAGGATGAAGCTGAATTGAAGGCTTGGACAAGGAAAAATGCTGCAGCTTTACATGCAATTCACGTTTCATGTTCGTTGGAGGTATTTTCTCACGTCAGAGAGATTGATTCTGCTAAGTCTTGCTGGGAAACTTTGGCTATAATGAATGAGGTAAAGCCAGCTGTCAGACCTCCAGGTAATGCATTCCTCTTCTACGTCTAAAGACTACGGGTCTCGTTTTTTTTTTTTTTTTTTTTTTGAACTAACGGGTCTCGTTTTTTTTTGTTTTTTTTTTTTTTTTTTTTTTTTTAATGAAATCACCGGTATCCAATCCTATTAACAAGGACCGATTAATCTGACTCGGGTGTTTAATCACAGTTCTTGGAGGTGCTACACTACGAGTCTCTTTAATATTATGGTTAAAATTGCTTTTTGAAAAAAACATCATATTACATGCTCTTGGAAAAACAGTTTTAATTTGTAATTTTTTTTGTCATGGTCATCGTCCTCCTCGTGGTCATCATCGTCCAAAATAATTTTAAAATATACTTTATTGTCATCTAAAAAATTACTTTTCTAGTCAGCAGTTCAAATAACAATTTTAATAGGATCAGACTTACTTAAATGTAATCTATATAAATATTTTTCAAAAATTTTTTTACTTTATCCCTTTTTTTCTCCAATGAATGGTAAAAATACTATTGTTTCAACAAAAAATTATTTTTCATTAATTGTTTTCACAAAAAATTATTTTTCATTAATTTAGTTCATAGATGGGAATTCAGTAGACTGTGATTTAGCCAAAGTGCAATTCCCCACTCCAAACCAATTCCCGTAATCACCGGAAATATTTAATTTATCTCATTAGGAAAAACTCAATTCTGTCGGCCTGAAAATTTTGTTTTTGGTGAAACAAAAAAAAATATTAGGACACTTGTAACTTGTACATTTTCTTGCTTCCATTGGCATTTTCTCATCTGTAAAACTAATGAGTTGATAAAAAAATGACAGCAACAGAGGTCCGGCTGCCTACGGTTTCCAATTTCATCCTTTACGCAGAGGCTATAGAGAAAAGGCGACTTGAATTCCGTAAAAACCTTTCCCTTCAGGGCTTCACCCAGGACACATTTACACAGAAAAAGTTTCAGGTTTTTGGTGAAACAAGCGCTTTCATCTTGCGACAAAGGCTGGGAACATTTAAAAGATTGTGGAGTTTTTGGTGTGGAGTTAATGTCAAGTAGAAGCAGTTTAACAGGCAGTTGATGAAAAGTAAAGGACAAGGCTCTTCTTTTTAGCTGTTGTTATTGGAGCAAAAACAAGATTGGGCCGAATTTTGCATGTGGAAAGACGATTGAAATCTGGTTTACTTATTGCCTGCAGGGACCCCAGTGATTCTTCCCCCAAGTAATATGAGAGCGAGTGAGAGTAATGGCCATAAGGAAACAACTCGGTATTTTATAACTCTTTCTCACTCCTTTTGAAATACTGCTTTGAAGATAATTTTATACTCTCTCACTCCTTTTGAAATACTGCTTGAAGATAATGGAGCCTTTGGATCTTTGCTTCTTCATGCTTCAATTTTCAGCGAAATGTTTGGTAAGTAATTAAGAGTGATTGTCATTTTCAAATCTTGCATAATCAGTAATTTGTTTTAGGGTAGATCGATATGGAGCTCATAAATGAATTGAAATTCATTTATAAATTATTTTATTTGTAAACGAACTTTTCAAATTTGTAATAAATTTAAAATTGAAAATAATTTTACTTTTATTTTCTAAAATTAACTTTTTTTAGTAGAATTTGGTTTAGTTATATTCAGATATATAGAATTTAATTTTTCATTTTTTTAGGACCAATACAAAAATTTGAATTTATAAATAGATTCTACGTAATTTTATGGAATTTATTAATTTCAAACAATGGATTAAACTTGATTAATTTTCTTTTAAGTATATAATAAAAAATTTTCAACGACTAAATAATAATTAATTTTACTTTTAAAACTTGATTTAACTCTTGTAATTCAAATAATAATTAATTTTACTTTTAAAACTTGATTTAACTCTTGTAATTCTAATTTTGATAATGCTATACAAACACCAGATATATCCTTGGATTTGCTCCAGCGTTGCCCAAGCTTCGCCACAAGACGAACACTTTATGGAAGCACCCCACTTGTCGAATTGGCTTGTTTCAACGATTTATTTCCTAGCAGCAACCGTTATGTCTTCTGGAAACAATGGATCTATTCCTGTCAGTACCTCTTCATCTCCCTCTTCCATTTCTTTTTCCCCTTTGCTTTGTTTATTCTTTCAGATTAATTGCAATAATTTTAAAGATTCTGGATTTCAAAACTAAATTCTGGTTTGGTTTTATATAGAATAACCATTCTTAGGTTTGGTTTAATTTTTGAGAAGTTTTACTAATTAAAATTCCCTTTATTTTGAGGTCATTTTTATAATTTCATTCCATTACACGAAGCATGAAGAAGTTCCTACAAAAATATGAAAATATTGAACCCGTGATATGTTTGTTTTGAATTAGGAACAAACAGAAGTTTTACTAATTAAAATTCCCTTTATTTTGAGGTCATTTTTATAATTTCATTCCATTACACGAAGCATGAAGAAGTTCCTACAAAAATATGAACCCGTGATATGTTTGTTTTGAATTAGGAACAAACATAAAGGAATTGATGACAAAAGGAAAAAATTGTGCACTAAACCATTCTGAATACCCCAAATTATACGAGTTGTTATAATTGCATCCCAAAATGAACTTAACCCTCAGACACTCCAATTTTAAATTTATGTCATAATTGCATCCTAATCGCAAAATTGGTCAAAATTGAGATTTAAAAAATACTCTCTCCGTCATTTTGTTGCATGATTTGACAAAACACGCATATTAAAAATTTAGTGAATAAAAGTTATTTTTTCATTTTTTACCTTTAATTCATTAAGATATTAATGAAAGTCTTTCATTTAATGAACAATCATAAATGTTATTATGAGAAAACTAATTGTTTACATATCTAAATTTAGAAATCTTGTAAATATTTTGAAACATCCAAAAAGGTATAACAAGCAAACAAAATAGAATGGAGTAGTAAATATAGGTCCCACATGAGTTGGCTAACCCAACATGAGTTAGCTACAGTAAAATGCAACTTTTGAAGGAGCTAAGAATTTTCTTTCTTCCTCCACAGACCGAATATGCTATTTTCTTCCTCCATCTTTGTGCAAGCAAATAGATAGATCAAGAATTGTTTGAGTAAAATTCAACTCAAATTAGGGTTTAAGAGAGTATGTAAAAATTAATTAAAGCTTCATACCTTGATTTTACAAAGGGGAAAAAAAAAAACAGCCCTAGAAAATAAAAACACTTTAATATCCAAAAGCGACTGTGATCTACATAATCAGGCCAAAAACATATTTACAGCGAAAACTAAAAGAATCTCTTAATGTCGTATACATATCTCAAGGATCTAAACAATAAAGAAAAAGAAATTAAAAGAAGAAAGTACATGGTCCAATTTAGAAAGGTCAATGAAGATTGGGTTGTTAAGCAGCTTCATACTCACCATGAACCGCTCTATCTCATCACCGACGTACATCGTAACATGACCCTCAAGAACTGGCTTGGTTCCACCAACGTGTCGGCAATCACCGGAGGATTACCTCTGTTTTACAATATCATGGGCACACTTAATCGGGTCAGAGTTTTATAAGATTCAAACCCACTCGATCTCTATACAAGCAGTTGCTCTCTCAACTTTTCTCGATCCCCTTAAGCCACTTCCCTCCTCCACCATTGTCTCCTTCTTGGTTTTGTTAGTAATCATCCATAATATTTTTTTTATTCAATGATTATTAATCCAGTCTGATAATGTCTAAATTGTGTGTTTTGAGTTAGCTAACTGAAGTTGAGTTAGCTAACTCATGTGGGACCCCACATTATTTTTAGTCTCTATTTCGACCAATTTTATAATTAGGGTGTAATTGTGATATAAATTTAAAATTGAAGTGTTTGGAGGATTAGATTCATTTTACGGTGTAATTATAACAATTCTCAAAGTTTGAGGTATTAGGAATGCTTTAGCCAAAATTGTGTTTGTTACTGAATATGAGTTAATGATTTTTATATGGAAGGTATTCATGTCCAACTACCTGCTTTTCCTGGTGATGTTCGAATTGCCATTCTAGAGAATGATCATGTCAAACAAGGTAAGATTTATTTAAGGTCGACATTCCATTATCATTTTTTGTCATTTCAAATTTAATAACTAATCAAACAATTATTTGTATAAAAAACTTTTGTTTTAAACCACTATATTAAATAGTTAACAGGTAACAACTAGTATCAAACAGCAAATAGCTACTATAACAGTTACTATTGTTGAGTAGACCTTAAATAATGAAGTAAAGGAAGCATAGTTAAAAAAAGGCGGCTATGTTGAACATTCTTTATCTAAGCAACAAAATTGAAATATATTCCACCTCCAAGACTCAAGAAAGGCTAATTGTTGAAACATTCTTTATTCTAAAGCAAACAAATGAAAATAATTCCACCTCCAAGACTCAAAAGGAAAACACACACCCACACACACACACACACCACCACATATATATACTTATTATATATATAATTATATATATATAATTAGGTTGTTTTAAAAAACGTTTAACTTAGTTGTTTAATTTTTCAGGGAAGGGTGAAATGCGGAGTTTGAGTTCAAAGGTCCTAGACTTTTTTGGTAATGTTATCTCTAATTTCTCATTTTGTTTTATTAAATGGCATATTACTTTATTACCTAGTGGTAAGACTGCTTGCCACTCTCATAGTGGCCAGAGTTCGAGTACTTCTCTTCTCCCCAAATTTCCCCCCACCCTCTCTCCTATAACATAGCTTTCAAAAGAAAAATAACTTTATTAAAGGGTAACTATTTCAAAAGAAAAATAACTTTATTAAAGGGTAACTATTGAGTAACCCATGAATTTTGATGTCATAAACTGCTCAGCTATTAAACTTTTAAATAGTAAATTACTATTTTGATAAATACATTAATACATCTTTGTAGTATTTATTTATTGTGTAGTCATTATGTCAGAAACGTGTCAATTTGCCTTTAGGTACTGCTACCCATTAACATATATTTATAAATTAAAGAGAAAAATAGTTCTATAAAATTTTAAATAATTAAAAAGGAAAATAATTTTTAAAAGAGAAAAATAGTTCTATAAAATTTTAAATAATTAAAAAGGAAAATAATTTTTAAAAATTTTTCTACTCAAATTTCCTCAAAAAAATTATTCTATAATTTTTTAAGGTTGACGTTATTTCCAGAGTACTGATTGTTAATGTTAAAGCAATAACATTCTATACAATATCACTTGATGAAATTGCCCCTTAATGAATTTATGTCAACTGTCCTTCCTTTTTTATACATTTAATTCAATTTTTTTAAAAAAGAAAAAAATATAAAGAAAGAATTAGACAATCTAAATAAATTCAATTTTAATCATCAACATACACTGCATACTAGGGAATTTGCGAAAGGCAGTAGAGTATATTTAGGTGTCCGGTGGTCGTAGCAATGCTCAGATCACCATCACACTCAAAACCAACACCATTTTTTCTAGTCCAAAGCTCTCTTTTGCTTCATAATAACATAACCTTTCTTTATAAATACCATGCTTGGATTAAAAAGGGAAAAATATGTATTAAGGCCTTGTCTTTTCTTATTCTTTTTATCCTTTCATAAATAAATTTGGATCAATATTTGGGAAACAACTCTCTTCTATAAACCAATTGAAATATTACCTTACCGCAATTTTTTATAAATCCATTCTTAACTTGTCAAATTGCATATATTTTTTTTATCAGATAAATTTGCTATTGCAAGAACTTTGTGTGAGAACTAAGTATAGCAACTGAATTGAAAGCATTCATTTCAAAAAAAAAAAAAAAAAAAAAATCATTTCAAAAAAAAAAAAAAAGAAAAAAAAAAAAAAAAAAAAAAGAATTCAAAACATCAAGTGATAACTGTGTATGCAATTTAATCCTATGGGAGTTCTTACAAAGAAAACGGATATTTAATAAGGGGCAATTTTGTCAAGTAATATTATATAGAATGTTATTAGTCTGGCATTAACAATTAGTGTTCTGGAAATAACAATACCCTGTTTTAATACTAAAAATCCTAAATTTTGGCTTTATTACATAATTAAAACTATTTTTTTGTTAGCTAAATACTCAATTTTGTTCAAGAAATAAAATGTTTTGATATATTTTATATTTCAAAATAATTAAAATAAAATAATTTTTGAAAACGTAAAAACAATATTTTGTAAAAACAATATTTTTACCCAAGTATTTGTTCATTATTTAAATTCCTTTAGAGGCGAAAATGAGTGTAAAAAAATTAAAAAATACTAAACAAATAATTTTTTAATTTATTTAAAATGTTTAAAAAATTTTGTATTTCTTAATTTTGAGTAATGCATTAATAGAGATTTCATTAATTTGGTCTTTAAATAAAACATTAATTTAGGGGTTGTGAGTAAATAACACTTTTTTTCATATTTCTCAAAAAAAAAAAAAAGAAAAAAAAAATCCTTTGCCAATTTAAAATTAGATTGCTGCAATTTCTTCAATTTTTGGCTTTGGTTTTGCTGTGAAAAAATAGGACTTGAAGCAAGATTTTACGATGAGGAAATTAAGGCAATACCTATGCTCTTTAAAAATTTCTAGGAAGCTGCTACTGGCCAAGCACGTATCTTCAGGACTGAAGCAAATTTACGATAGGAAATTAAGGCATACCTATGCTCTTAAAATTCTAGAGCTGATGGCCAAGCACGTATCTTCTATTGATGACACTAAACTAAAACAAAAAAGAATATATGATGCATTCTTTAAAGCTATCAAATATGGAGTTGTTGAAGTTGTTATTGAGATGATCAAAGCCAATTCTATTCTTTTGACTGTCGCCAACAAAAATTCAAGAGACATGCTTATGAATGCAATCCAATATCGACAAGAAAAAGTTTTTAGCCTTATATATGGGCTTGGTTCCAGGAAGCAACTTCTGATTTCTGGATCCGATGAATTCGAAAACACCATTTTACACATGGCTGCCAAGTTAGCACCTCCTAATAGACTTGCTGACATCTCAGGTGCAGCATTGCAGATGCAAAGAGAGCTACAATGGTATAAGGTGATATTTTTTGACTTGTTTAAATATTTCTGCAACATCATATTAGCGAAGTAAACTGACTAAAAACCTAGAGGATTCACCTACTCTGAAAGTAGGATAAGACTTTCTTTCACCATTCTAATGGAATATTTCTCTTTTCTGAAATATTGAATTTCTTTGGAAAGGCTCTACCTCATCTATAATTAGAAGGAAGGACTGGTTTAGCAACTATTATTCATGGTTGAACACAATGAGGGGTTAAGAATCTGATTCTTGATTTATTGTCAAGATCTCTAAGGACTCTCTTACTGTCCTTATTCCTCACAAAGTAGTGACACTCCCAATCATTTGCAATATAAACAAACAAATGCACTCATATCCCTTGTAGAATTAGTTTTTAAAGTGCAAAGTTTTTAGATGATAAGTTATTTTTTAAGTTATGTTCAATCACATAAATTTTAGTTTTTAATAAAAAATTTCGAATAAATTCAACATTCAAAAGAATGGGGAGAGAAATTATGCTCACAAGTTAGTTTTTTTATATTATAGTTTGACTTATACAATAGCAAAATGTTTTTAATTCAGGAAGTAGAAAGCATTTCGATTCCTTCAAATAAAGAATACATCAACAGTGACAATGAACAAGCTAGTGAGATATTTTCTAAAAGCCATAAAGAGCTAATAAAAGATGGAGAAGAAACCAAGCTAGTGAGATATTTTCTTAAAAAAAGCCTGTTTTAAAAGAGCTAAATAAAAAGATGGAGAAGGAATGGATTGAAAGGAATAACAGCCACACGGTCCCTGTACAGTTATGAACGTCCTGTACAGTAGTGGGTGCACTTATTATTACTATAATGTTCACGGCAGCATTTACAGTTCCTGGTGGTAACGTTCAAGAAACTGGTTTTCCTATGTTTGCACATGAAAAATCATTTATGATATTTATAATATCCGATGCCATTTCTCTCTTTGCCTCCTCAACATCAGTGTTAATGTTCTTAGGGGTCCTTACATCACGCTATTCAGAAGATGATTTTCTCAAATCTTTGCCTACAAAGTTGATTATTGGTCTTTCTACTCTCTTCATTTCTATTGCAGCCATGATGGTAGCCTTTTGTGCTACTCTTATGATAATGCTAGAAGGAGAATTGAGAAATTTGAACTTGTCCTTCCAATCATTCTTTTGGCTAGGCATACTGTCACCCTTTTGATATTATTTCCAATTTTCCCTTCTTGTTGAGATTTTGTATTACTTATTGGACCAGGCATCTTTTGATAGAAAAATAAGCCACTTGTCCTTCCAATCATTCTTTTGGCTAGCATACCTGTCACCCTTTTTATATTATTGCAATTTCCTCTTCTTGTTGAGATTTTTGTATCTACTTATGGACCAGGCATCTTTGATAGAAAAATGAAGCCATGGTATTGAACTATGCATGTTCAGGAAGCTATATTGGCCTTTCTATTGAATTTTATGTTGCAAAGGCGTTGAGTTGATGTAATAAGCCAATGTGATGCTTTTAGCTAGCATACCTATCACCCTTTTTATATTATTGCAAGTTCCCCTTCTTGTTGAGATTTTTGTATCTACTTGTGGACCAGGCATCTTTGATAGAAAAATGAAGCCTTAGTATTGAACTATGCTTGTTCAGGAAGCAGAATTGGCCTTTTCTATTGAATTTTATATTGCAAACGCATTAAGTTGATGTAATAAGCCAATGAGAGGTGTTTTTCTTTGGGTAACATTGTTTTATGGTTATGAGTTATGATCCACAACAAAAAATGCAAGTTGTGCTTTGGTGGTCATTCACTACTAAACCACCTATGCATTTCACTGGAATACAAATAGTTTTCTCTAATTTGGTTTATTTTTACCATAATCATGATTCATTTGTGGGATTTTTGTAATTATTAGATTGAAAAATAGTCAATTCTGACTTTATTTCAATATTGACTTTTCTCTTTTGCATTATAGATGTACATTACTCTTTTCCATTTCAATGAATGGTGTTATTCTTGGTTCAACACATGTGTGCCGTGATACTTGTGAATGTGAAATGCTCCATGTTTGCATTATTTTTTATGACAAGATGAAGGATCAAGGATGAAGTCGAGCTTTAGAATCCCTTAGTCTAGATGGAACTAGAGTTTTTGGACCTAGAAATTAAGTCCTTTAAGGATAAAAGGGGTGTCAAAGAACCTAACAAATTTCAATTAATGCAACATCATGAAAGTAGATAATATTTTGTTTATGACACATCCTTTATACATTGAGAAAATATTTAGGGTAACCTAGCTAGGATTTGCCATCCTTCAAGAATAGATCCTTTTCAGATTTTGTTGCAACTTGCATTAGATTGTTATGATGGGATACTGGTGCTATAATTGACCAACATATAGTTGGAGACCTCCTTTCTTTTATTGTTACTTTGCTTAGCCATTGCTTTTCTCTTCTACTTTTTGGTTAGTTGGTAGAGTAAGTAACTCCTAGTTTAGTTCCATCTTGTTATTATCTCCAAGGTACTTAATAATCACATACTCAATAATCCAATCTTGTGGTAATGATATCTTATTATTTGTATTATTCATATTATCCCCTAGTTAAGTTCCATCTTGTTATTATCTCCTAGGTACTTATAATCACATACTCTACAACATATTCCTATAACCAAACAAAGGAATTAAACTAGAATTTCTATTCTATCATGCATACCAAACATAGGATTAGAAATTTATTTCCATTCCATTTCATCTTCTATTTTATCCCTTATTTTTATTCCATTTCGCATACCAAACCTAGCCTAAAGGCTTCTTTCTTTTTTTTTTTTGAAATCAAGAAGTTTCACATGATAGGAGCATTTAGCTCCAACTATGCCTACTAAAGCCTTTTTCCTTCATTTCAATTTTTAAAAAATTTCATAATAACAAGAGCAAGTAACTCCAAAAGAGGCCTACTAAACATTGAAATAAAGTCAGCTCACTGTAAAATATATGAAAATAAAGAAAGTGGTCTTTGAGAAGGCCTTTCAGTTACTTTAGTTTTCAAAATAGCTTTGGTGCAACCTGCATTGTCAAATGCCAAATTAGATGATGTCATGTGTCAAAACTCTAAAAATTTTCAAACAATAACCAACACTTACACATTTATCAACACAATACAAGTAATCAAAGTATTGCCCAGTACAGTGCTTTAGCCCAAGTTCTTCTCCTTCTATTCTCTTTATACATGTAAATATTAAGTTGAAAAGCATTTTCCTTTTAGTAACAGTGAAGAAAAATAATAAAGTCCCAATTAAAAGTATTTTCCTTTTATATTAGACCGTTTAATATAAAAGTATTTTACCTCATATTCAATTAAAGGCTTCACACATTTAGGCTTGCAGAAGTCCTCCAGATATTTCTTTTGATCAACAAATTCTTCATCCGCCCTAAATTTAATTAAAATATATAGATATAAATAAACAAATAAGGAAATTTTAGAATTCAAAGAAAAAAGAAGTTTTATATTATATAACAATTTGGATGAGAGTGCTATAAGGTCTACCTTTTATATAAGAATGAAACTATCAGTTGTTAATTTAAAATTTTATCGAGATAAATATAGTTATTATTGATATGTTTGACTTTATATAGTTATTAATTGCAATGACTAACAGATTTATTCTTATAAAGGTCCAACTTATAATAGTCAAAGCTAATAATTTTCAATATTATACGTGACGCCTTATTTAGGAAGGGCTATGCAACCCATCCCCAACTATGATTGATGTTGATATATTAATAACTTAAAACACTTACACCTGTTATATGAGTGGGTTAATCTAATGCAGACATATAGAACAAATGAGGGTATTGCTGAATATTTACTCAAAAAAAAAAGGACAAAAAAAAGTAGGCAAGTAATTTTCATTAATCACATATACCGAAAGTAGGCAAGTAATTTTCATTAATCACACAAAACAAAGTACAATGCTATTAAATGAATAACCTTAACTATAAGAGTAGATAAGCTTACATAGAAGTTAAATTGTATGGTACAAGAATTTACTAAGCCTTCAAAGCTATCTTTCCTGCATAAGAAAAGTACATATTGATCATTTACAATGATTAAGAATATTGATCCACATAGAGGAATTAACAAAAATCATATGAATATAAAAAAATTGCAAAATAACAACTAAATCGTGAGCAAAAAATATGAACCAATATCATAAATTAACAATAAAACTATAGTGAATCAAGAACGACTATTAAAATTTAAATTTATTAATCACCATAATCACACCTTAAGCTGCTCTAATTACTGCGGGTTTCCTATTTTGTCAAAAAAGGGGAAAACAACGTAGATTAACAAAATTAGAGCTTACAAATGGAAATGGAGGATTTGGGGTAGATAAAAAAGCTGCAAAATGGACCATAAAAAAATTTGGAAGTTATGATTTACAAATTACACATATATAAAGGTTAAGAAACCTTGCCTTTATCCTATTGATATGTATCAATGTAACTTTGAGCTTCAACAACGCAACAAATTGGTATAAATTATCTAACAAACTTGGTTATATATAGCATAGAGATGCTTATATGTTGCCTTGAAAGTGTGGATACTCATAACTTTATGACCATTGAACCAGTCAAATACTTGGCACATGATTATTGATACTATAATATTTTATAAACATATTTTGTTTCATATTCATATATTGATACTATATCCCAATTATTTGATATTCAATTAAAAAGACTCAAACCTGATATCTATCACGGATTAGAAATCTCAATCACCACTTGAAGTTATATTATAATTTTATGCTCTATTTAGTTTGTTAAGAATCAACGGTTGACTAATCACTAGGTGGTGTTTCTTCTTATAATTTAAATTAAATATCATGTGGATATCTTTTTGTGTAAACTATATTCCTCCAGTCGAATGTATATATAATAAAATTAAAATGATACTTTTTTGTTATAAAATATAATAAATAGAGAATATATATAGAGATGTAATAGATATAATAGAGAGAGAATAGAGAGAAATTGAATTCTTGTAGTAGAATCTTAGTTATCAATCCATAGGATTAAAGAACTATTTATAGGATACAAAATACAATCTAAGACATAACCTTATACACTAAAGGACATAACCTTACACATTAAAGGATACAACTATTCATCCTAAAGGACATAAACCTTTATTCCAAAGGACATGACTTATGGAGAAGATAAATAATTTCTTTAATAAACTTAATGGACATCTATTATATAATATAATATGCATAATATCTCCCCTTCGATGTCCATTACACAAAGAATATATCTCGTTAAAATTTTACTAGGAAAAAATCAAGTGGGAAAAAATCCTAGTGAAGGAAAAAGAGTATAATATTCTGTCATGACCCATTTCCGCGGGCCAGACCGGCACTAGGACCTAGGTGAGCTTAAGGCCCCCGGAGCCCATAGTAAGCCTATATTTTTAACACTCATATTCTATTCATAATTGTGGATTCAAGCCCAATAAGTTATTTCACATACGTATCAAAAATACAGTTCATATATTTAATATAGACTCTTATTATTCATTTACAACCCAATTGGAATACAATTGCGGAACTCTACCTTTACATTTACACCGTTATTTCTATCATTAACAGTCTTCTATAAATATAGACTCTTATATTATTGCATTTAACAACCCAATTGGAAATTACAATTGCGGAAAACTCCTACCTTTACATTTACACCGTTATTTCTATCATTAAACAGTCTTCTAAAATTAATGTGTTCAACTCCATAGGGGGCTTTATCTTTCGTTTCTATTACCTGAAAAAAATTAGTAGGGCAAGGAGTGAGCGCCAAACTCAATGAGTAGGGTTAAGATAACCCTCTCACCCTACACAATTACACATATGCTATCATAAATCATTTTAGTCCTCCCACTAGTTATATGATCATGCAGTTTATCACACAAACTGACAATACAACAGCAATCACAATTATTTCATCTTCATGTAATCAACATCACGTGAAAATTAGTCAGTGGCGTCACCCGAAACCTTCCGACGACGTCGTACTCTCACATGGCCCTCCTTCTCAAACGTGGTTACCCGGGAGCCAATTTCCCCAACTTGGTTCGACTGAGTCCTAATCCTTCACGATGACCCCAGTCCTTCATTAGTTTTCCATTCCTCTTTTCTTTTCCATACCATTTTCTTTTCCATACCAACAGGAGGCAACCCGATGGTCTCCGTCAAATCTATATCATCAGGTGCACACAACAGGAGGCCACCCTGTGGGCTTCCATGACATCCAGATTATCAGGTGCACACGATAGGAGGCCACCTATGGTTTCTATATAATCCATGGTATCAGGTGCACACGGGGCACCGATCTCCCATTTTCCCGGCCGACGGTGCAATTTCATAATTTCATCATAATCAGGATCTATGCTTTATCGACCATCCTCACAAACCCATGGTAACCCACTTCATCCCAATTTCACACAAACAAGGCACAGCAATATCACAACACAGGTAATAGCAAATTTAATCGCAAACAATGAGTTGCAGCACAATATAGCCATTCAACAATGAAATGTAACATTTAGCCGTAAATGCATTTTGAATGCAAAGATCAACGGATGATTGCGGAATTATCTACCACTACTCACAGTGCTTCATTGTCCTTTAAAGACTATGTGAACGTCCCATTTTCTAGACGGCGTCGTTGCTTAGGCAGTCGAGTCG